TTCAAACGAGCGAGGGAGACGCCCGACAACATGTCAGATCTTGCGTGACAGCTTGTGCGACCCAGCTGCTGTCTGAAGTACAACAAAATTCGAACTTGCCCTAGGGTGTAGGTTGGGTACTGGCCCCCCTCACTAACAGTTGGATAATAGATATCATATGGTTATATATAGCCCTTAATAGGACCCCTAATACAGACTCTTACTGGGCGGGGGCAGTACCCAATCTATATCCCTAAAACCCTAAACCCTATATAACCCATTATGGTAGCTTCCATTTTCTTTTCCATTATCCCTATATAACCCTAATATTCCCCAATCTGTACCCCAAGGTGTAGGGCTGATCAGTTCAAGGCGACGTACGCTGCTGGAGCCTACTGCGCCCGTAGAGCAGAAGCCTCCGCAGGCCGGTCGCGGACCGCGGTACACTCCCCCAAACTAACATGGAAACCCATATGGGTTACAGTCTAAACTCCTTCAAAGGGGTTATATAGGGGACCATATAGGGGATTACTATGGGGCTTATTAAGGGGGATACTAGGAGTTTAGACTATATATAGCTCATATAGTCCCCTTTTTAGAAGGACTGTAGTCTTTATAGGGCCCTTTTTGGGCTGCCATGTTAGTTTCCGGGAGTGTAGCTTCCAGAAAATTTCCCCAGCACAGCGGCATCAACGATACTATTGGCACTAGGAGTTTTGTTAATATTATTAGTACTATTGGTACTGGTATTGCTTTTACTATTGTCAGTATTTTTATCATACTATCGCAGTATTGTTAATATTATTAGTACTATTGGTACTCGTATTGCTTTTACTATTATTAGTATATCATTATCATACGGACACCACAGAGAAGTAGCAAACACTCCGTCGAACCCTCACACAGGCGGGCTCCCAGGCGGCATGGGGGCCCCGACGGCCAAAGGTTGCCGCGGTTGCCCAGGTCTGCACCTGATCACTTGCAAATCTACACTCCCGGAAACTAACATGGAAACCCAAAAAGGGCCCTATAAAGACTACAGTCCTTCTAAAAAAGGGACTATATGGGTTTCCATGTTAGTTTGAGGGAGTGTATGAGATGCCCATTGTGGTGAAACAGTACACATGGGGTGCTTTTTTCAATGCTAGGGGCAGTGGATTAGCAAAGGGCCCGTTTTTGGAAACCTAAACCTTCACTCCCAGTCCATGCTCAGGGACCGGCGCCGGTTTCGCAGCCTCGAGCACCTGCATTTGTACCACGCCAGGCCCAGACCTGGATATCCTAGCTTTTCTTGCCTGGTTAGCCGGGAATGAAGGCATGTAAAACAAAATGGAAATTACCATAATGGGTTATAGTCCTCCTTAAGTAGATAGAATATGGGTTATATGGGGACCTTATTATAATATACCCAAAGCCATATTCTATCTACTTAAGGGGGACTGTATATGGGGACTACTATGCGGATCCATTCCTTCATTCCTAGCTAACCAAAGGTACGGTCTTCTGCGACACTCCTCGCGCTGCTTGTCGATATTGTAGTATAGTGTAACAGATTAGAATACATCATGACATATTATACTAAGATATATTGCATGGTAGTACGCCTCAACATGCATATTCCAGTACATTACGTTATATTATGATACATTGTAGTAAGTTATACTATTGTAGTATATTAAAGTATCCTTTGCTAGATTACCGCATTCTGTAGTATACAGTATCATAGTATTCTCAGCTGGTGAAGGTTCAGTTTCCTCGTCCACCACAGGCAGCTTCCGGACAGGCCAGCAAGCATTGGCGGCTTAGCCTGCTTGCGGCGCTAAATGAGCTCCCCTATAGTATAGGGTTTAGGGTTTAGGGTCTAAACTCCTAGTATCCCCCTTAATATCCCCTATAGTAGTCCCCTATATAATCCCCTATATAGCCCCCCTTGAAGGAGTTTAGACTATAGCTCAACTAGGGGTTGCCCAAAGATAGGGGGGATGTATAAGGAGTAGGGTTTAGGGGTACTACCCCAATAATGAAGAATCAAATGGAGAGGAAGACGGAAAATGAAACGGAATGGAATGGAAACTGGGATTGTATAGTGGTTTATCCTAGAGGACCAATTGACACACAAATTTGTGTTCTTGAGATTTGTCCGCTTCATATTGAGGAAAAGCTTTCGGTTTCGGAAAAAGCGTACGTTCCGAAATGCGTGCCGCAGAAACAGGGCACTTTGTCAAAATTGCTCCCGACTTGCGAGAAATTGTGCCCGAAATTGTGCCCTAGTTACGGATGTAATTCCTGTCCGTTTTACATTTTCGGCCTGGAACGCTATAACCAAACAAAAGCCGTCCGAACAAAAAAATAAACGCCCGATTCGCAAAAAGTCTTGGGGACACAAATCTGTCTCCGAATTGGTCCTTTAGGATAAGGATCAGGATTTCCCGAAGACAGGGGTACCTTCTTGGGTCCCCATTATAAGGACTATATCATTTTGGGGTCTCTATTGGGGTCCCCCTATCTAGGGAAACTACTAAATATAACAGAGGCTGAAGATCTATGTCTTGATTTCAGGGTTTGGACTTCTTGTGCTTACTGTGAGCCGCGAGCATCGGGTCATTAAATGTAAGGACATTTCCAAAATTTGGGTCCCCCTCAGACACCCCCAACATGTTACATTGGGTTGAATAGGATGCTCCAAAAAGCACTGCTAAACCCTAAGTTCTCAAGCAACGCTGCGGTATTCCCAAAAGATCGACTTCTGCTCAGATAGAGACCCAAGACCCTAAACATCATGCCTCGCACGCAGGTGCGTGGGCAGACTCCAACGAATGCATACCCTGCAATGGCCCACAAGGCTTGTGGTGAACTATTGAGGTGTTTCCCGCAGAGGTCTTCTTCACTGTAGTTTCTGTAGCGCTTGAAATCTTTGATATGTAGTTGTGTCCCACAGGAATATTATTCTTTACTACAGGGATCTGTTTGTTCATTTCGGCCCTTGCCGTTGCTTGGGCACCTGCCTTTATTTGATGCCAGGGGCTCAATCTCGAATGCGCCAAGTATGGGTAGACATTAGATAGGCCCTTCCGAAAAAAGGGGGAGGAGTTGTTGCTCGTTCAGATGGGAGTCTCCGAAATTGGGGCTTAGGGGTCTTCCCTTCATTGAGAGTCTTTGCCAAAGCTTGTCCACTCTGGACATGCTTATGTACGTCCTTATAATATCTCTTCTATCCCGTATCCTCATATATCCTACCCTTAACCCTGTTTCCGTGCCAGCAGTGCAACGCGCGTGCCGAAACCCTAAACCCCAAACCCCAAACCTTAAACCCATAGGGCCACGGTTCCGATCTGGGGTTCTGTGGTAAGTGCAGTGTGTAGCAGGGTTCGGGGTCCTGACATGTGAGGCTGATGCAGGGAGCCAATATCTGTAAGAAGATGGCTACTTGGCCTTGCTCCATACCAGTCGGAAAAAGGCCAAACCCTAAACCCCAGGCCCCAAGCCCGAAACCCTGCGCACCCTACCCGGAACCCTAAACCCCAAACCCCAGACACGATCCCCGTGGTTTTTGCAGGCCTCCGGATTGCCTCCTCAGCACTTACAGCCTCAGCATACGCTGTACCAGGCCATGGGCTTCATTGCGGTTTAGGGCTTAGGATCTAGGAGTGAGGGGGGGTGGGAATTTGGTTGGGGAATGTTGGGGATATAGATTTTTTCGAGTTTAGGGTGTAGGGTTTCGAGGGTTATACAGGGTGTATAGGGGTAGAAAGGCATGCCATACGGATATGATCCCCAATAGTGGAGAAGCAGATGGAAGACACAGGAAGATGAAGTGGAAACTGTGTTTGTAGAGTTTTATAGGGTGAGGATATGGTGGGTTGCCAAAGTCTTTTGCATTAAAAGGCATCCAAAGAGCTCAAAAACAGAAAGGTACGTTCTGAGCCCCAATCCCGCACACCCCAATGCAGCATATTCCTCCCGAGGTGCCTCATACAGCCCCACGACTTCCGGCGCAGCCAGTGAGACAGCAGGTGCATGCTGTTTTCAGTGCAGAAGACAGACTTTCTGTCCTTGACGCTTATACTAGTGAGGAGCCCCAGCACACGCCTGCTCCGACCCCCCATGCTGCTGTGGGGATGCAGGCTGGAGCACTAAAGTGTGGGCAAGCTACTCTGGTTCATCATGTTCCTCTAAGAACTCATTTTTCCCCTTGAGGCCGGTCAGCCAGTGAGCTCAGCGCTTCCGCTTCCTTACCAGGTGCCAATCAATCTCTATATGGCTTCAATTAGCAGCCATGATTTCAGCTAGCATACAGGCTGGTTCCAACGGCATCCCACTACGTCCAAGCGTTGATCAAGGACTGCGACGTGCATGTGCAGATCATAGGTCACTCATGCGTATTGCAAGCTGAAGACATGGCAACCTGCAGGATGCGACCTGTATGACCCCGCTTGAGATTCCAGTTTAATCAAGGCACTTAATTAGCAAGGATACGTACTATTCACAATAATTCCAATATAGACCCATGCATGACCCTAATTACTGTAGCCAGTAGATTTGGCGAGTCAAGAAAGCCTCCAATCAGCCAGAACTCGCCGCCCTCCTCTGCTCATATAAATAAGATAATGGTTTAGGGTTTTAGAGTTTGGGTAAAAAATGGCCTCTCATATCGAGAGCACACAAGGAAAGACCACAGGTTTAAGAATCGCCTAGATCCCATTAAGAACCCCATCTTCTCTAATCCCTTTATGAGTGGATTCCCGAACCCCTCAGGAGCCTGGGCCGCTGTTAATTCCGACTATGGCATTATGGGAAAATGTTATTTGCGACTAAGGTAGACAGCTGATTAATAAGCCCCCTTCTTTTAAAGGGCCTTACTATTAGGATCCCGATTACAATCCCTCGTAATGGGAGGGGGTTTGTTCGTTATGGCTCTGCATTATCCTTTCTGCTAACTTCGTCTATGTTCCCAAACAGCAACCCGGCAACCCAGTAAACTGACAACCCGGCTAGGGTTTAGGCAGTGTCTAGGACCAGCCATGGCGGCGCCCGCGCCTTCAGCCACGGCGAGTCACGCGCCTCCAAAGCCAAAAGAGGTGCCTGCCACTGAAATTCGGGGCTTAGGGTTTAGAATAGTACTTGCTATCAGAAGTATTCGTACCGACATTTCTGGTATGGGTTTTCCGGCTATGATGATTTCTACCATCCATATGTTTTTGCATACTATTCGTGTCAAGCCAGCACAGTCTCACCGCGTCTTTATGCAACAGCACCGTAGCCCTGGCGCAGAGATACGGTGGATACTAGAAATCCTGCATGACTCAAAGTATCCTAATCCTTGAGAATTATGGTACTACAGTATTCGAAGGTCATGCAGGTTTTTTAGTATCAACAGCAGATATACCCTGTGCCCTGCTGTCATGATTGGTGCCACGATTTGGAGGGATTTAAGGTTTAGAGTTTAGGGCTTAGGGTTTAGGGTGCAGCCTGCTTCTTTAGTCCTAAATCTAAGCCCTAACCACCAAAAGCCAGCCGGCACTGTTGGGATCTGACACCTAGGAGTTCTTCGAGAGGGCCCCGTTGCAAAGAAGGACCATCCGGAATTCAGTTTCTTAGAGAGAGGTACCCGTCCAAAAGGACTACGGGGGCCCAATTAATTACCAATATCAGTTTGAGGTCCACTTGAGGTAATTACCATATATTATGATTATATAAGGAATATGGGTAATTATTTAGGCCCCTAATTTTATTAAACATTCTAAATGCTACCTCAGATAGACCTCAAAATTGTATTAGTTATTCTCCCGGCCCTTGCATGATCTTATGGCCATTTTGGGTACAGGTGGTTCGAACAGTCTGATTCTGATAGAGGCCCTGAGCCCACAACTTGGCACCATGAGTCTGCTACCAAGGTTTTGGTAACACGAACCCTACAGAGAGGGCCCTATAGGAGTCGTGTGATAGCCATGAGCAGACTCCTGGTTATGGTTTGTTTGGTGTGGTGGAGCCAAAATCACCGCGTTTGAGTCCTACCCCAGGTGTTTTGCATCACCAGCGAATATGACTGGAGCTTCACGACGGAGATCATCAGGCCAGTAGTGTCAGCGGAAATCACAAGGCTACTAATTGATAACAGTAGTTCTAGCCTGACTTGTCATAATGGATTTTCAGCATCAAGCCATCAATCATGGGAGCGAACTTGTACTTGTCGACTTTCATGCAGGGCAACGCTTGCAAGCTGATCACTTCCCTAATAAACACCCCCCCCCCCACCCACTTCATAATATCCAATATTCCCAATACTTTACAGTATACTACAACGGAACATTTCACATGGCTTTACAAGCCCTCAACCCTAAACCCTAAACCGAACAAAATGCGACAAGGCCGGAGTCAGCAATGATACTGGCGACCTCCTCTCTCGGAAAGGCCACCTCTTCTCCTGGGTTGCTGTTAAGGAACTTAATTTAAGTGACTATATGGGAGAAACCCTATAATGTACTATATGTACCCATTCTGGTAACTTAATTTAAGTTCCGTAAAAGCAACGCACCGGTCTTCCTGCCAGGCTTTGACAGCTTCTACGGGTGATGTTTTGGATACTTTCAAAGGCACCAGCTTGGAACTTACAGGAAATATATAGGGTCATATAGGTATGTAATCGTGTGTATATATATAGGTATGTATAGAGGGGTGAGAGATGTAGTGCTGGTATTCCAGAACCAAATACTTTTAAAAGGGCACGGCCTGCATTCATTGTGTGCGCAGCTGTCATGGCAGGACGCAGAAGGCAACATTGCTGCTGACCCAATCGCGCGGCTGGGTGGGTGAACCGGCCTGGGTGAGCATCTCCTTGGCGATGCAAATTTGATGAGATGATTTCTCATTGTATCTCTCTTAAGTCCATACACTCAGTGGCGAGGTCTCGTGTTCAAAGGTTGCCCCGGTTTGTTGCACTAAATCAAGTCACCTTGTACTCGAAGACCAGCACTTCTAGGTGGCATCAGCTTCATCACTACTTAACCGCAGTGTCAAGGGGCTGCTTTCAGCGCTTGCCACTGTTGATTTGTGCTTGTATGGCGCGTTGCACACAGGGGAGACGTGTGCTTTTTGTGGAATTGCCGCCCGCTATCTCACTGAAAGTCGGAGATGGCTCGCAAACAAGGCTGCACATAATATAGGGGCCTGAATAACTACCAATATTATGGTTCCATACTCCTTATATAGTTATGGTCCATGGTGCCTCACATGGACCTCAAAATGATATTGGTCATTATTTGGGCCCCTGTAGTAATGCAGCAATTCGGAGAATTTGGAATGCAGAGGCGTTGTTGCAAGTGGCTACTCTTGAAGTGGCATTGAGTGTGCTGTCAGACTGCGCATGTAAGATATGCTCGTAACATTTCCTGATGCTGCACTTCATGCTCATTTTGAGAGTGAAGGAGGTGTGGAGATTTTCTCTGCAGCATGACATTCTGACTTTGCCTGTAGTACGTTTCAGTAGAGCATTGCGGGAACCCATGCTCTCGAACACTGTTCCCGTGACATGCGCGAGCAAGCGCCGAGTCGCCGCGATGGATTCTTGCTTTCGTGTTGGACAACACTTCCGAACAGGGACATCAAAGACCAGCATGAGTTTCACTCCCATCCAACAGAACCGAATGAATAGCTGATGGCTTTAAAAAGAGAGGGCGTGTGCATTGGGATCCTGATAAAACCACCTGCCCCTTATATGGGGTTCATGGGGGTATATAGAGGTATGTATGCAGGATTTTTACGAACATAGCCAAACAAGTCCTCGCAACAATTAAGAGGGGAAACTGCAGTGATCTAGCGCACGCTCGCAAAATAGGTAAATTGTCTGAACGTAAGGGGCCTCTGCTGGAGAATGAGCTATGGCAAAAGCCGGGACAGTTCAGGTCTGTGTTTTGCGATTACTCTTTAGATTAAAACAGCCTCGCTCAGACTTAGCAGATGATGCCTCGGCATTTTCTTGGTCTGTTTTTCCTTGATGATTTTCCCGCCGCCGCACAGCCAGAACCGCCAAGACGCTCCGGCAAAATCATTCCTATCGGCCATAATGCTTGCCCCTATGTTTTGTAGGCTACAACCCAAGAAGTAGGACATCCAAGATGAGTTCTACAAGATCTCACACTAGAACCTTTTGAGCGGGTTAGGAATGGTGCCAAAAAGCGATTTTATGCAAACTGCAGTGATCAGTCCTACCAAGCTGCAAGCCTTGTCAAAGGAAGCCCGCTGCCAGTATTAGGATTCTATCAGCCCTAGCTATTGCAAGCCTTAGGGCCCAGAATATTGTACTAGATTGTGTTGACAAAATGGAGGGAGTGGGGCATGTGAATATCCCTTACCTTACGCTCTACCAAGTCACAGACCCCTTCCTCCTTTCAGGGAGACCTGCACCTCTTGCACTTTAAACCCCTTGGGCGCTCATGGCTAGCGGTGGCTGGCGATCCACCCCAGGCCAGACTGGCTACATGGTATTTTTCGAATTGAGTGCTTCGAGTTTAGGGCGAAGGAAGGGTTTAGGGTTAAGGGTCTAGGCTTTAGGGAGAGTCCCCATGATTAAGGATGATCGTAGGATTTGGGGACATAACCTGGGTTGCTCTAAAGGAATTCGTTTGAAGCGTCCAGAATGGCTCAGCCTTCGGAGTTCCCGAAGCGTTCGCGTGGCATACTGTAGAAACCTGAAGAATGGTCATGTGTCAATAGTTTTTAGGATTTAGTATTAGGGTTTACGGTCCAAGTGAAATTACCAAAGCTGTGGCGATAGCTTCTTTGTGCACTGGCGGTACAGGCTACCTCGGCTTCAGCATGAAATTTACAAAAGATAAGGTCCCTGCAATAATCTTGTAGGCGGGGGACCCCGATGATCTCCTTATGTCTTTTACTTAGCCCTCTATACTATGGTAGTTTACGGTTTAGGGTTTCCTTAAGTGTCGGAACCCTAAACACCCCAAAATAGACACCAAAAAAATTATAGTCCCTATTATGGGGACCCCCAAGCTAGGTACTCCTAATTTTGGAAAACCCTGAACCCTATATATTCCTATAGAACCCTATATGCGCGTATTTTATATATATATATGTATGTGTATATATATATATATTCTAGGTCAACGAAGCCTTCAAGTTTAGTCGCTCCCACTGGGAATTTCATGTTTATCTCAACTGCCGGTCGGATGGAGTTCATTTTGTCGATCCCTTCATTGGTGCGATGGTATTCTAGAGTTGGGTCTGCTTGTCCCGAGGATATAAAGAGCACATGCAAACGCTGATGGTGATGTTTCATGTGCAGGCGTCCATGCCAACAAGCATAGCAGCCATAGCAGTCACGACCTGTGGCGGCTTGAGTGAATGGAAGGTACAAGAAAAGGAACATGAGATCAAGTTCGTGTGGTTCTTGTTTTTCCCTTCGGTCATTCCTGGATTGTTGGTTTCACATCTGGAGACCATGCATCAAGCCTCAAATCCTAAACTCTAAACCCCACTTACATATGAGCTAGAGTCTTAACTCCTTAAACGGTGGTTATATAGGGGAGTATATAGGGGACTATTATGGTGGTTATTATGCTTGATGTTAGGAGTTAAGACTGTGACGTATGGCCCACATGCACAAGCCAATAGGTTCCCTGCCCCTGGCCAGAGTCGGTTACCAATCTCGCACAATGAAAGACCTTTGTTCCTCATTACAGGGACTCCCAAAAGGGGACCCCAATGTTTGTGTTTATCCGCCACCGCAGCCTTTCAGGCTTGCCGGTAGTAGACATGTTCACAGTCAGGATCAAAGCCCCAACCTTCTTTGTCGCTAGCTTACAGGTCTTGACTACACTTCGACATATGACCTCACAACTGAAGCCTCCGTTATTCTGAGCGCGTAGAGAAAGACTTGGCTGCTTGGACCATCCAAGACCACCGGTAGTTAAATTATGTTTACGATTATTCTTTTTCTTGCTGTGAATGTTACTATTAGAATTACTAGTATTATTGCCCAACGGTCCCGCACGAAGCACAAGTTCTTCGACGGCAGCCGCATTGTGGCTGGGGACAACTGCGAGTGGGTTGAGGAAACGCTGCTAGTAAGAGAGCAGGTCATGGACGACCCCCTTGTTGCGGCCATTGCCAGCTCCGTTGATGAAGACATCCGGAACATGGAGCCTGAGCGGGCAGCTGATGTCAACTCCAGGGACCCCAGGCAGTCCAAGCGTGTGTTTCCTTCTCTTCTTTCTCATCTTCCCGAGTTGGCGCAGCAGCTCGACAAGCAAGGAGATAACGTGCCTGCCAAGGTAGAGGAGCAGTTTCAAGTCACTGCCAATGAAGCTGTCACTGGCTTTAAAGACGAGAATGGGCTCGCTCCCATCATCACCCACTTCGAGCCCCCTGCCAAGCCCCACCACTTCGAGTCGGCCACCATCTTCTTCATTCGCTATGCGCTTGGTGGCGCCGAAGGCATCGCCGCTATCGTCATCGCCATCTGCTTCGGCATCCCGCTCCTGTCGCACCTCATTGGCGTGCCCATGTTCGCGCTCTACACCTGCCTGGTGACGGCGGGCATCACCAGGCGCCTCTACTCGAACGCCGCCTTCTGGTATCACCACATGCGACCCGCCTTGGAGCGGGAGGACTGCCAGCGGCCCTTCTTGACCCGCCGCGTCGGCACCCGCCCCCACAAGCAGCGCAAGGGAAAAACCGTATGGTACCCCAAGCTATCCGAGGAGGAGAGCAAGACGCGTGGCTTTGCTCCTTATGGCATGCCCCTCCCATCCTACTTCTACGACCTTCTCACTTATGCGCTCGAGTACAAAGTGTGTGGCTTCTGCCGGGCCGTTTGCTGTGACCTCAACATCGGCAAGTACAAATCGACCCAGTGCAGCGCCGAGGACGTGTACTTCTTCATCATGAACACAAGCATGGCGTGCTTTATCAGCAAGGACGACGGCAAGCTCAATCTCTACGAGAACCACATCCCTCACCCCAACGGCAAGACTATCTACATGTACAAGGTGGTTGGCGAGCTCGACCACAGGACACAGCGCCACATCCGCACCTGGATCCAGTACGAGGAGGCCAAGGAGGGCTGTCGTCCAGAGGTAATTACCATCACAGACCCCACCGAGGTAATGCAAGTCTATGGGCTTATTGGGGCTACCAAGACCCACGTGCACATTCACTGGTGGGCCAATGCAGTCAAAGACCTCGAGGACGGCAAGTGGCCTCTTGCGAATCTCTCCATTGCACTCACACAGGGCTTCAACAACGCAGCACAATTCACTGCTGGGCCAATGCTCGGTTGCAGCAGCCCCGAGGGCTTTCGCGCCATACTCTTGCCGAACGCAATCTGTGAGGGCATCCCTGTGCACGGTGACCTTGGTGAGATAGCAAACACAAGCCGTTTACACAGCATGGTCAAGTCTTGCCGTGCCAAGCTCAAAACAGGTGCCGCCAAGCACCTCAACAGTTTCGAGATCGAAGCCATCCTGCAGGCCACCGTGATGCATGCTGCGGAGCACTACTACGCAAGCGCTGTGATGCCCTGGAGGTGTTACTCACATTTCATGGATGCCGAGCTGACACCGTTCCGTGCAACCTTGATCCAAGGCTGCCAGCACTGCACGCGCAACCTTCTGTGTAAGCATTACAGACACGAGGACTCTATCTGCGCCTCACTCTACGAGTGCTGCCATGAGATTGACCCAGCCTTCGCCGACACGCACCTGACTGTTGGCATTGCTGCGTAACGGATACATATTTTTCAAACAATTGCGGATTCAGTCCTGAGATAAATGTGGCTTGACTTCACAAGGAAAGCAGGC